CCTCACAGAAATTTTTTCCAAGATCATGGCTTTATAAGCACACTGTTCCAGCTTCTGGGTAAAGGGGCATAAGCCATGAGTATTATTCTAAAATTACAACAAGAAGAAATTCAATTTTCTAGCAGTGACCTGTGATACACTAGAGCATCTGCTTCAACTGAGTCCACAAATGCAAATAGGAGACAAATAAAGATACACAATGTAGTATAAAAATACAAAGCAATAATCAACTCTTTATCACCAATGTGCAAAGTGTTTTGCTGTCTTTAGAACAGGACACATGAACCCAATAAAAGTCGATGTGGCACTGATAGCCCCATTTTCTGAGGACAAGGGGTGAACACATACATAAGAGTGGGATGGAGTGAAAGGAGATGCTGTTATTCTTTCCAAAAGCATCTTCACACTGTTGGGGAGAACATGGGCTAAATACCATCAAATTTCAAAACAGAAGCAGCCAGCAGGACATGCCTGATTTTGCTGCTGGAGCTTGCAGTTGTCATTGCATCTCAAGGACTGACAAACCCACAGTTACACTGTCACTGTTTCCATTGCAAGAGGTTTTGCTTCAATAGGTTTCCAAATTGATAGGGACAATTCAGCCAAGCTTAAGCCTTACATGGCCAAAGGATTTCACAGCTCTTTATGAGCAACAAGTGAACCTTACAACACACCCAGTTTTTTATCCAGCCTAAACCCGCACACAGATCTGCTGGGCCACACTGGATATTTGGGAACACAGTGAGCTGATGAGAAAACCAGGACCATAATCTGAAGCCCACCTCCCAGCTTGCTCTTCTACATACCTGAATGTTTTTTTCCCGTACATTATGAAACAAAGAACCCTCTTTGCCTTAAACTCAGGTAAGAGACTACAAAGTATCTGTAAGGTCAAATCCTTAACCAGCATTTAATCCCAACAGTCTCATATTTAAAGGATGCTAAATAAGTCCTACTGACTTAATGAAAGACAAAAATGACCAGTTACTTCAAAAGCAAGGGAATTACCATAAACAAACAGTTTCCTGTGTCTCTTACCCTTCCTGCGACACATGATATCACACAGAAGAAGGCTAAATTGACACTTGCTGTTCACCCTGTCCCACAGCATTTCAGGCCTCAAGTTAAATAGTCTTATTTCAATGGAAAGTTCTACGTTTCACTGCTGTTCAAATACGAAGTTTGATGTGCTACTGGATATTCCTCAGAGATAGGATATTCAATACGTGAGACGTCCAGCTGCTTTAAAACAGATTATTTACTGGAAGGCATAGCCTGCAGCCACAGCTGTAGAGCGTACACAATTCAGGGTAACAATTAACCACAGCTAGCTTCATTACTGCTAAACTAATATTCCAAGTGCAAAGAAGTCATATAAATCCCCAAGAAACATGAAACAAGGCCTCACATTTTTGTTCAGCACTAGTACAGCATGCATTATGCAGCACATCATTATGGTGCCATTCACCCTGATGAGATCCTTTCCCCCAGCTTTTGGCACCTTGTGTTAGCATGAATGAATGTGTGAGACATGCCCACTTTAAGGTGAGATGCATGTCCAGACAGGATATGGCTGACTATCAGATCTGGGGGAAGTGATGATACTGACCTCACTCCTTCTTACAGGAAATCCCACCCCTAAAAAGCATCACTTGGGATCACGTCCGTTTCCGCAGCTTCTATCTTCTTGCTACCGCAACTTTCTTGCTACTTTTATATTCACCTTTTTTTCCCCATGAGTTATTTCCAGCCCTTGGTTTTTTTTAAATGAGTTTTATTACCTCATTGCTATCACCAGGCTTGATGTCTCTGGCCCAGAGCAGACATGTGCATCAAAGCTAGAGCCCAGGACCTGCCAGTGGGTGCAGGCAGGGGGCTGCTGGCTGCCCTCCCCTGCCCATGGCGGCAGGCAGTCTTGCAGCTGAATACCTGCAGCCAACCAGTCACAAACAGCTGATGCCAAAATAGGCAGAAAAAAATACAACTAGAACTGTCCTGATGTGCCATACACAGATGGATTAATATTTCATTGTTATTCCAGGAAAGGCTTTTAAAAGAACACACAAGACAATGATTATCTGGAGCTGTCTCAGTACACTGATTAAAAATATAAGCAATCTGACATTGAAAGGAAAGGGCTTTTTAATGAGAACATTGTTTCTTAAAACCACAAAATAGCACAGACCAAAAGAGCTAAAAGGTGCACATAGGTGACCTATTAGCCACACTGATCTCTTTAATAACAGTTTTGGCCAGTAAAGGATTTTAATGATGGCACAGAAGATGGGTGATGAATTACAGAGATATTTCTGTTATGCAGAACAGAAGATGGAGTTTTGCCCAACACTTATCCATGGTCTGACTTTGAAAATCTCTTTGGCAGCTTGATGGATTTAATAACAAAGGCCTGATTCACTGACATTGATAACTAAATTTGTTATTTCTAACACTCAGTGACTGGAACTCACAGCTTTGCATTCTGCAGTTCTGTAGTGCCAGAAATAACATCTCTTTAGGAAGAATTCAGGCAGGTATCCAGTTTATATGCATTAGCATGTTTGCATTTCAATTGGTGAACTGCTGAAGAACAAATGAATTAGGCAGTTTGTTTCATGGTTGCTAATATCCTGCTCCTGTCTGTTTGATCTTGTAAGTGCCCAGGTCACACCAGGTGGGTTTTCAAAGGTGCATTTGCATCCCTGTAGAAGTCAGAGGGCACAGGCCAGATCTATAGAGGTATTCAGCTGCAGAGTCCCCATGTTGGCACCTGACTCCATTTGGTTGCAATTAGGGATCAAGAGCCCTAAAAATACCTCTGGAGACTCAGCTGTGTTTACCCAGCTCCCTGTAGGCTCTTTGGAAACGGATGTATTCCCTATGCTGCTCAAAGCGTGGAAGTGGCTGAACTCTTAGAAGAGCTGCTGGGAGCAGGGAGCGTGTCCATGCCATGTGTGGGGCTCAAGCTTGCTGGGGGTTTGGAGTAAGCTGGCCACAGGTTGCAAGAAGCTCACTGGTAATCACAGAAAAAGCTGGAGACTGGTCTTACCCTCTGCCATGATGTCCTCACTAAGGCTTAATTCCATCTGTTGTGGAGTTGGTTGTTTTTCTTACAACTAGATTTTAATTCTCCTGCCAAAAAGGATTATTTTAACTAATTCTAACTGTATAAGATTGTTTTCTAAAAAATACAAAGTATCAGTCACTGTTTTGCATTAAAAAATAACTAAATACCTGAAGTTATTCAGCTAAACAGTGTTAGAAGAGGCTTGAGAGTAGTTGGTGAAGTTGTGCAGAGAGCAAAGCCTTACTTATTTTAACTTCCAAATTTTGCATATAGCAACTAAACTGAATCTTCCTAAGGAAAAGAAAAAATTATATATATATATATACACACACATAGGAAGGTCTGTTTCTATGGTTTTCAGATACTAGCTTATACCCCTTCACACACCATACCCCCCCTGCCCCAAAACTGGCCTTTAAGATAAATGTGACTCATTCCAGAACAGATTCTTTTAGGTGGATTAAAGTGATAGCTCTGTCAAGACTTCAATGGTATTAGTTGTTGATGCTGAGAAGTGTAAAAACCTGGACGAATTAGCAGTTCTGCCTGCCAGGGTGTATCTTGCCCACAGACATTCTGTGCTGGAGAACAGGAATCCTTCCCCTTCGATCAGAAAATTCTGCCTCGTCATGGAATATTGAACACAAGTCATTATCATTTATTATATTAAGGCTTCTTAAAAGCTAGCCAAAGCACCAAATGCAAAGAGTATTCCTAATCTTATTTCTTTCACAAAAAAATAGCCTTCTACTAGGACCATATCAGTTTTGAAGTCCTTAGGTTCTGGCAGTGTAATTTTCCATGATGCAAACATTTTAATTTCTGGAAAAACTTTTCTTGTTTCTTTGTCTTGGACTTTACAGAAATAAAAGCAACAAGATCTTTAATCTGTCTGTCACAGAAGTCAACAGCTATACTCTTAGGGTGAAACACACCTGGATAACTTAGCAGACACAAGCAAGAGTTTTGCTATTATTATTATTAAAACAAAACAAAACACCCACAACTCCCCTCCTGCCCAAATAAGCCACATATACAGTATCATTGCTGAAATCTACTGCAAAACAGAATGTTTAACACATGGTAGAGGTGATCATCACTTTTAAGGTCAATGTTAGACAAATCAGATGATCTGAACAGGTTTCAAAGGGCACTGAATCTATTGCAGATTCTGTGTCCGAATATGTATTGCACTAGTACCAATAAATCAGTGAGACACTGACGTGTTCAAGTTTTATAGCTGTCAAAGCAACATGCAAAATATCCATCCCAAAAACCTCTCTTTTTGCTCTGCTCAGTGATACAAGGTAATGCAAAAGCGAAATGTAAATAATACATTTCACCACCGATGCACCTCCTTAGAAACCATGAAGTGCATTATTTGGCATGAAAATGCATGATCTAAAGTTGGAACATCAAAGCAAATAATAAAAAGTGCAAATATATTCAATGTTTTATGTACTAAATATAAAAGAGAGCAAGGCATTATATGGAGAAAATAGAAACAGCTTTAAATAAGGGAGGTGAGATATGAATTACCTACTTTTTGTTAGCTTTATTAGTTACCTATCCACACCTATTGCAATCCTTGAAGATATTTTCCTACCAAAGTACACTCATTTTCCCTTCCTATCACATTTCCTGCATAAAGCTTCTGAAATAACACTGAAAACCTTAAAAAGCCAGAACCTGCATTACGGTTTAGGTTCACATTTCCAGTAAACACACTTAAACAAGAAAAAAAACCCAGCAGACTGCTAATGGGTTAACAACATAAGCGTGCCACATTTTACACATAGAAATTTGCTTTAATAAAGGACATTGAAAAGGAAGAAGCCACAAAGGCTAAAGAAACACATCTCCTGCAGCAAGTGAGACAGAATACAAACGAACCCGTAGCTCCACTAAGAATGAAGATCTGTTTTATTTCACTTACCAGCATTATCCATTTTCCCCCCTCGGTATTCAAAAAAAGCAGAGCTCCCCAGAAAAGCAGCCGGTACAGTCACAGTCTGTGTCTCAGTCTCACTCTCACTAATGAAGCTGGCTGCCCTTCTCCTGGTTATTAGACCTTGCTGGCAGCCAGAGCATACTTCATGCACTGACTGCAGTAGACATCACCAGCAAATTTATATCTCCAAGGATGACAAACAGCCATTAGCTCCATTATAGGCTGATTAAGGTTGTGCAAGCCTATCAAGTAGATATTTAAATCCCCCAGGGTTTTACGTCTTTGGGGGAAAACAAAAGAACTCCAAGCTTAGAATATTGAATATACGTTTCTGAAAAGTAAAAGTAGTGCTGATAAGAAAAGCTTTAATGGGTAGGAAGGCAAAACTTTAAATAAAAAAGGGATCTATTACAGAGCGAAGGACTGTGATTTATCAGTGACACAACAGCAGAAGTTTGAAGGAGAAAATAAAAAGGGAGGAATCTATGGCTGAGAAAGTGTTAGGTTAGACTGCAATTTGCAACCATTAGTTCTGGCTGTGCTTTAAATCCTACAAGTTCTGCACCTGATGTTCCCTATGGTTTGTGAGAAACGAAGTAGATGTGCTTATCTACAAATGCATGACAATATATTAATTGCCTGGAGACATTCATTATTATACCATTCACAGCTGAATGTAAGAAATGGGTGAAAAGTAACTACAGGGCTTAACTTCTTTTAAAGGCAAAGTTAAAACATGGCTGCTGGAGGGATTAGACTCTACAAAATCTGAATGACATGCTGAAATGAGCAGGTATTACACCTGCATTTTCCATACCACCTGAGTCTGTGATGCACAGGCTTTTCTGCCATAGAAATATACAAACAAACCCAGTATAGGCTCCTATACTGTATAGTATAGGCTTTCCTACAGTTTCTCTTGACAAATGAATAAAATGAAATAAAATATGTTATTTTCAAATAAGAAAATCTCTCCCCTCGCAGCAATAGGTGAACAGCAGCAGAACATGGAGTACACCAGGAAATTTGGGTTCCATCCCCCGTTTTGGCACTGGTTTGATCTGCAACCCTAAACCAGGCATGTTGTGCCATAATGTTTGCCCAGTGGTGAAAGGGAGACCATTACACATACTCCATTTGGTGAAAGCAATGTCACAAAGTATGACACTACATAAATGCCACATAGTATCTTCAAGTATTTTTCCCTGTTTTTAAATATTCATTCAGCTACTCCAATCTTCTTCATTGCAATGGAAAAAATACAGATTTTTCTGTCTGTATTATATTGACATGAACACCCCCCAGCCTCAGAGCATCGTGTTAGCAACAAATTACATTTTCTATTTAATACCCCTTCACTACCCCCTATCATCTTATTTGCCCTTCTAAAATATTAAATAAAAAAGGCAGTTGCAGCACTGATCTATTTACACTGATTAAGAAGTGAGAATCAATGGCTGAGAGCTAAAGTCATCAGCAAGAATGGAGAATATCTAGGGCATACTGGATGTATCCTGTATTTCGAGAAAGGAAGCGCTTGGAGGGCTAAGGAAAGACTAAAGACTAGAAATCTGTCACACTTCGTATTAAGCTTCTATTTATAAGTGGCTTATAAAGAGCTTAAAAAAATAGAAGTTATGAGCATGTTGCATCAGTACATGTTACAGATATAGTGCATGTTACAGATAGCTACAGCTACACCAATACAATGGGTTAAAAAAGACCAGTAAGTTTATTCACCTGCTAGGTTCTGTATCAGTTAATGACAATTGATTAATGTGCCAATTTAGGTAATTGGGTAACGTGCACCAGATGAAATATAGTTGCATAGGAGCACTAAACTGGGGACCATGACCTGGCTACCTGATAGATGTGACCAGCTTAACTCCTCTGTGGAGGTAGCTGCCTGGAGAGTGCCGGGCTTCTGGAGAAAAGGAGAGAAATTGATGACTCTTGGTGGGTCTTCAAAGTCCAACAGGGCCTGAAGAGAGCTAGGGGGATGTACTGCAGCACCAGCAGTCTGCCTGGGAGAGAAGAGCAGAGGGCTGTGCCTTTGTGCCAGGATACTATTACTTAACTATGGAGTCAATCAGGGGAAAAGCAAGCTGCCATCATAAAAGGAAGTTATTCCCTGGTTTGGTAATGGGGCTCTGCAGAGCTGCAAAATGTATATGCATCTGACTGAACCCAAACAGCCTTAAGGTATGGTGACAAAACCCCTGCAGGGCAGAAGGGCACATGCATATCTTAAATTCTAGCAAGTATGCAAATGTGTTGTGCTGGTTAATGCTAAGGCAGATTGGTTTTAAATCCAATTTGGTTTGAGTTTCATGAGGGAAGCTATGCACTTGAGCAGCCTCCAGGCAACAGTGCAGCTATAGGAAAGCAGTACTAACCTTTGTGGCTGGCGATACAGGTGGACAGCCTGTGCCAAGGAACTCAAGTGAAAATACAAAGCCGCACCTATTTAGACCTCCAGAAAAAAAACACTCCAGAGGGTGTCTATTTCTGTGTGGCAGACAGGTCTTAGTGTGTGCACCATGGCTGAACATCAACTGCAGGCATATGGGCTTCCTGGTAGACTTCAAGGTGCTGGTTCCCCAACCATGCGGATGAGAAGACCTATGTCAGAATATCACAGCTCCCTTCCTGCCCACATGTACAAGTTTCCTTCCAAAGAAGCCCTGGAAGATGGTAATGTGTACCCAGGTCGCATCCTGACATGCAATTCTGATACAGTCACAGCCTCAAGTCAGCTGAGGATCAGAATTGTAAGCTGGTAACTAGAGGATGGGAAATCCCAATCACGACAACATGATATGCATTGAGTTTGATGTTTCATCAGGGCTGTGTGACAGAGAACTGTTTATTAATGCCTGAAAGCTACCTATAAATGGAAACTTCATATGATGTATGACCTAAATTTCTTCTGTTTGAACAGAAATTATCTCACCAGGAATCTTCAAAAAAAAAGAAAACTTTAAAAATATGTGATTTCTTTTTCTCATGGGTAATTAGATTATTGCATAAAAGTTAACAAATGTGTATGATCAGTGCCATTATTACATGATTAAAGCAATGTCTCCCTGCACAGGCACATGGGCAAAAGAAAGATACAGATATTAGATGGGGTTGACAACAGTTATTTGAAAGTTAAATATACGTATGTTCCAGGCACAAACCTATTTAATTTGTCAGTAATGAGAAACGCCATCACAATCCATAGTTAGAATCATAGAATAGTTAGGGTTGGAAAGAACCTTAAGATCATCAAGTTCCACCCTCCCTGCCATGGGCAGGGACACCTCACACTAAACCATATCACCCAAGGCCTCGTCCAACCTGGCCTTGAATGCTGCCAGGGATGGAGCATTCACAACCTCCCTGGGCAACCTATTCCAGTGCCTCACCACCCCAACAAGAAAGAATTTCCTCCTTATATCCAATCTAAATCTAGTTGCATGACAACATAATGCCTCAGTCTGTTTAAGGACAATTATGTGTAAGAACTGAGAAGACTGGTCTTCACAGATCCAAAACTGTCTTTTCCCTTTCCGAAAATCTCATACTCCATGAACCTGCATCCCAGTTTTCTTCAGCTGTCATGTGGTACTGGCTCACAGTTCATTTCGGTCATAGGCACTTAAGACCTGGGTTCAATTCCTTGTTCATTAAGACTTCCTGAACAATTTTGTGCAAGCTCCTCCAACATCTGATCTCCTATGGGAACTGCTTGTACCATGCTCACTCCCCACACCTCAGCTGTGTGAGGATAAACACACTGAAGGTTGCGCGAGACCCCAGTGTTAGAGTGTAAGGACCTGATGAAGCAGCTAACTCAGACAATCAGTGCCATCTCCTAGAAAAGCTAGCATTATCAGGTACTTTAGAAGCACTGCTAATGACACAGAACCCTAATGATCCTGTTCTTCAATGTACCAGATGCACACAGCCAGTAATGACTTATCACTCTGGGAAAACTGATGAGTATTCACAGAGGCACAGCAATTTGCCCAGGTAAGAAGCAAATGGAGAAAAAAGGTAAACAGAGACCTCCTCACCCAACCATCGAAAATACTTTGAGTTGACAAACCCCCAGAATCGATGTGCAGCTTCAGCTGTGGTGTTTCCAATCATGACAAAGACGCTTAAGAACTCATTTAGAAAATGTGAAAACTGGCTCAGCTCAGTGCAGATTTGTCACTGCAAGGATCTGACTCCATAAGATGCCATTTTGGGCAAAATGTTTCACTTCCCTTTCACTGTGTCTGTTTCTTCCCACACAAAATCCATCATGCAGGTGTCTCTGGGAGAAGCTGTACTTGTTTTTAGATGCTGTGGGTTTGTATAGCCAACGCCAACACTCTAAATACACAGCTTCATGCAATTCTTCTAAGTATCCACCATGGCAAAGACTGTGTTGAGTACATGAGATCTGTGGCCTTCCAAAAGATTTTCCTTCTGTGAAGAACACTTCTCTCCACCAGTGGTGGGAAGTTTACAGGGAGGGAGGAAAGACACTCTGAAAACATGGGAATGGTGGCAGAATATCTGGGCTCTGTTACTGACAAATCCCCATTTTCCCGTTTATTAACAAGGAGTGCCACTTTCTGTAAAAGGATGCTTTATAAACCACACCAAAATGGTGAGATGTGATTAGTCACATCTCTATAAATACAAAGTTGCCAGATGCACATTCTTCAGGGTTTACGCATATGAAAACCATCTCTTCTCTGGCACATGCTTGAAAATTGTTAGGCAAAGGGAAAGCCTCTTGAGGAAGTGCTGAACTGTATGCATGGAATAGGTTTCCCTGTGTTAGAGCTGAGGGTTTGGCATATGGCAGGATCGACCTCCAGCAGAAGCCTTCCCTAAACCTCAGCAACAACTCCAAGCATCATCAGGAGAAGGTTTTGCCAAATGTCTTTTCCCTGCCTCACAGAGGCAGAAGAATTTGAAAGCAGGACAGTAACAAGGATGCTCTTTTCCTGGGAAAAAGCTACACTTCAACCTCGAAATATTGTTAATACACTGCTGTTAGTGCTGAGGATGCTTTATTTTGCAATAGGAGGCTTTTGTTCCCCAGGAAGAATTTATCCTTGAACAGCCTGGCCAGATGCAGTGGTTCTGACTCTTTCCACCTTGCAAGGAGTGAAGCAACACCACTGAAGTCAGCGGATTTGAGCTGATACAAAACAAGAAGAGAGTGGGATCTAGACAGCAACTTGTGGTTGCTGTAGGTGGGGAGTTTCACAGCACAGATGGATTTTCAGAGGGAGCAGGAAGGGGCTGAGCATGTGTTGAGTACAGTGCAGAGAGAGTGGCAGGGCTGAGGGAGAGGAGGCACAGAGGCAGTGGGAGAGGAAAGCAGGGACGTGGGGAGAGGTCAAGAAAGAAGTTTCAGCGTACCATGAAGAGGGGCACTCAGCAGGAGATAAAAGCATGGACAAGAAAAAAACCTCTAAAAGCTTGATTGTTGAAATAAACTCTAACTTGTTTCTGAATCCCGGCTTTCAGTGAACTCCTACCTGGAAAGAGGCATGTTATGTGTTCAGTTTGAAACATCTGGAAAAATAAACACAAGTTTTTCCCCTTTAGTTTTTCCCTCTG